ACCAGTATCAAAGATGAATAACACATTGTAAGATTATATCGTCTGTATGATTTCTGAACCATGCTAAATGGACGTGATATTAGATATACCACCCTATACCCAGCATCCTCTTTACAGGAAGTCTCATCAAACACGGATCTTCTTCATCATCATAATTGTTGTGGACCAGACAGTTATGTTGAGTCTGTACAGCCATACATGCATCACGACTAAGAATGGTTCGGTTTGCTGACACTGCTACAATTGCAATCTCATTTGGGAAATCACTTTTTGAATATTCTAGTTCAAACACATCAAATCATTTCATTAATCTCCATGGTTAGTGTTAAATATGTATATATTTATCCATTTCATGAATTACATAACCATATTTCTTGTCATACTTATATAAGGGTAATTCTATTTATGAGGGCTTTGTCATTTGCAGAAGCCCGACGTCTTCCATTAACTGCCTGACGGTTCTGCGAATGATGATGCCCTGAAAAATAGCGTAGTCGTTATTATAGCTTAAATGGATAGAAGTTTTTATAAAAAAAATTAAACAACTACATGTATATAGGTTTTGAAACATTTAGTGAAATCAACACAAATTTCACTGACCCACTTTTACAAACATGGAAACGTCATAGAACAAACAAGATGAAGTCACTATTGAACGTGACGTCACCTAACAACGGGCGTGATATTGGCCCATGGTCAAACAATATGAGGGCATCATCAAGTCACAGTAGCCTGCTCATTTCTGATAACATGCGGGCGGTTTAATAATTCTATCTATTTTAGCTATAATATCCTGCATCATTTTGATAATTTGTGGAAGGAAACTTGCAGTGTACTACAGGTAATGAGAATTTGAATTGTATTTAATAAAATTTAATGTTCATGTTGTAAGGTATGATTATAGAAAGATTGTCTTCCTTGTATTTGGGCCTTGAGAAGAAAGTAAAAACTAAAACCCGAAGACACCAAGGATGAATGATACCGAAGATGGCAAGACATTCACTTCTTCACTACTTGCAAGGCTGCTGCAACATGGTGTTTTCAGCTCCATCTGAAGTCTACATTATGTCGTAAAATGTTTTACGTCCATAAGATCTGCCGTCTGACTGGAATAATATTGCAATGACACATGTCATCAATCATATGCTTAAGACAACATTAAGAATGTCTAGAACAGGATATCAGGTGAAATGAAGTTCCCTGAGGGATTCAGAATCAATCCATAATAGTCTTCAGTGATAGAGATACTCCATCAGTTTGACAGCAGGTGCTTGTCACAATAGATTGGGATAGATCAAACTTTAATTCCCATCTAGGTCAGGGTAGATATTTTGGACTTGAATTTCTTTGTATTTTTTTAAACTCTGAAAATCATGATATGATAATTTTAACGTAAATATATGTCGCTGGTCCAAAGACGGTGATAATGTGAACTCTATTTGTACAAACTGTTCATCCGGAGAAGTAGAGGATGAATACCATGTCTGACTTATATGTGAAACGTATTCCAATTTAAGGTATAAATTTCTCCCAATGTTGCAAGGTATTTTTAAAGACCGTCAGTTAATGATAAATCTGCTTAACTCTGAAAATCCTGATATGATCCATGCTGTTTCTGTATTCTTGAAACATGTCTTTATAATGAGGAATGTGTAACTTGACTTAAAATCTAATCATGTAAATCACGTGACAAATGTTAATAGCCAATCTGCATTGTACTATGGGCCTTGATGCCTAAATTACTGAATAAACTGTCTGTCTGTATTTTAGTGCTCCTACAAATTTGCTTCTTTAGATTAAAAGGGGTATTGTCAATCTCACTATCAATGAATGGGTCAAACTTTCAAAATTACATCTAATGACATTCACTGGTTTTGATGTTTACTGAAAATCCTTGTACTTTTTGGGACAAGTTAATTCCATGACAAACTTAAACATCTTTATGTATTCCCTTTGGCACACATGAAAACATATGCGTTTCTCATAATCCCTGACTTATATGTTGTATATAACATAGATATATCTGATTTATTATTTTCTCTAATCATAATCAGAAAGAGTGGAAAAAACCCTAAAAAATGGCAAATTCTTAACTATTATGCAGTTTGGCAAGGACTACAGGACTCAGTGCCAATTTCTAATGCTGGATGTTATAATATATTTTCATTATTTATTATTTAGGGTTGAAGAATATGGGTGGCCATGCCTCTGCTTATGCTAAAATATTCTGACCTTGAGGGTTGTGAGAACTGGATTCAAGCAGTCATTTAAGCTTTATTCTGTTTCTGTTTTGGCAAGAGAAGATGTAATTCTGGACCCTTATTTGTAATTTTCATCAGTCAAAACAAAACAATGTAAGATGATGCCTGATTCCATGATGGTCTGCATAAAGGTGATATAAGGTTTTGTATCAAACATCAAGTTCTTGAGAAGGTTGTTTAACATTAGAATACTGTAATTGAGCTATAAAGGCAGATGTTCCGACTGGTGATGGAGGCTTTGCAAGTTCTAAAAGTATAAGTACTTGATAACACACAACAATATGGTGGTGGTGCTGCTGCTGCTGCTGATGATGAATGGGTAATTTAGCTTTATCCTGTTTCAGTAAGTGGCCGACTAATGCTTTGTTAGCAATTTGTGAAAGGTCATCTGTCTTGCAGGCTTCGGCTGTATCGAAATTAGGTCAAGAAATATTAGTCTTCAGAATAAATGGCAATCCACAGACATTATTGTATTTCGGATTCAGTTTTTCTAATGTGATCAACAGAGTGGGTTTGGGCCTGTAGTCCTGTAAACCGGTAGTCCATACAAACGCTTTGCTCCTGCCATCAGGTTATACGGTCACTGTAAATGGACTGAGTGAACTGAATTAAATTGAATTCTGTTCTTGTTATGATGGAAGAGGTTTTGCTTACCTGGTGGTTACAACATTCAGCATTCAAGGCCTCAGTAAAGCTTTCCAAACATTTCATGGTGGACATGTGGAGGACATTTCCAAATTTGACTCATCAGTGACAAAAATGATGTCTGATGCTATTCCCTATTTGATTTGTACCATATGCTCCTATGTTTATTCAGGTGAACAATTGACTTGCCTTTGCATGTGTTTGGGATGGGTGCCACCGTTGGGGCCAGATACGCTCACCTTTTTGCGAACACCTGGTATCATCATTATTTGATAGTGATTCATAAACACATGCTCGTGATATAGACTGAATCGTACAATTGACTCCACTTTCAGCAGAGATTTCAATTGAATATGGAAAGGGTTATGTCGCTTATAATTAAGGTGTTTGCTTGTCGTGCTGAACAGAAGCCAAAGGCCTTGGTTTGATTTCCCACATGGGTACAGCATGCAGCCATTTCTGATGTCCCCCACCCCAACTTGATGCTGCAGTCCTGCTCAAAGCAGCATTAAACAATTCATTCACTTACTGTCATTTAATTATATGTAACTTGTGTGATTGAGTACTGTTGAACTTTCTCTTGATCAGTAAATATATATGGAAGTGTAGTCTTGCTCAAGTCTGTACTGAAAGAAAAGTCTATGGATGTGTAGTAATTCTATCCTCTCAATAGGCAAGTCTAGATATGTGGACAGTAACTCCAGTGTCTTATTGGGACAACTTGTTCTTATTGTTTACATAATCTAGAAATTATGATTTGAACTTATTATTGCCTTAGAGACTTGTGCAAGTCTAATGGTAGTGTTTTAGCTCCCTTTGTGATTAAATTATAAGACCTACCCATTGAGAGACTAAACGACCGAGGAAAACATGTCCCATTTGGTGGCTGTCTTGTTACTGTTCAGTTAAAATGTATATTGTGGCAGATGTGATCAGTCAACTTGATGGCTACTTCATTGTATCTGACGTGTGGAGATTCCAGGTTAGAATTAAACACAAGGAAACTATGCTTGTTATACGAGGTGACTTAATGTACCGAGCGGCCAGACTTGATGAGGGGCGGTCGGGTAGCCTAGTGGTTAAAGCGTTCGCTCGTCACGCCGAAGACCCGGGTTCGATTCCCGACATGGGTACAATGTGTGAAGCCCATTTCTGGTGTCCCCCGCCGTGATATTGCTGGAATAATGCTAAAAGCGGCGTAAAACCAAACTCACTCACTCACTCACTCAGACTTGATGACTTGGTTGATTGCGGCATGGACCGTTTCCATTATATCAGTTACTGGTTTGTCTGGTCAAGACTGATGTATTCCCTGGGCCTCAGTCCTTTAGCGGGAATATTACAGCATTATACTGTGCAGGAGTAAATACCAAACAGTCAACAGTATTGTAAGAGAACTCACTTGCTATAACGAAGATGTTCATATCCCTATTTCCACTTGGCCTGTGTTGGTGGATTGATTTACAGCTAAGCCAGTCTTTCTTGTGGCATTAATTTCTTTGACCAAAGACATCTTCACCCAGCACCACACGACATCTTCACCCAGACCCACATGACATCTTCACCCAGCACCACATGACATCTTCACCCAGCACCACACGACATCTTCACCCAGCACCACATGACATCTTCACCCAGCACCATTCGACATCTTCACCCAGCACCACACGACATCTTCACCCAGCACCATACGACATCTTCACCCAGCACCACATGACATCTTCACCAAGCTCCACAAGACATCTTCACCCAGCACCATACGACATCTTCACCCAGCACCACACGACATCTTCACCCAGCTCCACATGACATCTTCATGCAGCTCCACATGACATCTTCACCCAGCACCATACAACATCTTCACCTAGCACCATACGACATCTTCACCCAGCACCATACGACATCGTCACCCAGCACCACACGACATCGTCACCTAGCTCCACATGACATCTTCACCCAGCACCATACAACATCTTCACCTAGCACCATACGACATCTTCACCCAGCACCATACAACATCTTCATCTTGTTCATCCCAGCCATTTTTGAACATTTATTTCTATGTTTTGTTCTCATGTGATGTTTGGGTTTCAGAGTTGACGGATACCGACTCGCCTACGGCTACTATCCGGGCATCGGTATTGACATCAAGTGTAACGATACAGGGGGAAAACATGAGTTTGCACAACTTTGCCGGGAGCTGCTGAGAAAAGTTGCCACCGATAGACCCCTTCATGCATTATATGTAAGTATATCTTCCTTATCACATTGTGTATGATAAATTACCGTATTCGACGTAATAAGCACCCCGCTCTAATATGTGCCCACGGCGATATTTGCTAATATACTGACTAGTGAACAATCCCAATTAGCACCCCTTCTGATTGATCAATGTACACAGGACTTATTTATTCGTGTATAATAATATGTATGTTATATGCATTCTTAATTATGGAAAATTAAATTCTGGAAAAAATATATCTGTCGTATATAAACATTTCAGGCTGTCAGCATAAACCACGAAATTTATGATCTTTCAATTCTGTTGTTTTCCACCAAAATAATATTCTAATAAGAGCCCCCTTTTTCTAACTTTGAGAGCGCCCTAGGCGCTTATTATGTCGAATACGGTATTATTATTATATAATAAAACATTTATATACCTCAGGTATCCGTGTACTAGTATCTGCTCATATGTGGTTTTATTTGTTTCCCGATCAGTGGATCCATTTGCATTCCAGTTATCATTCTCAACTCCCTGGGGAATATATAACAAAAGCTGCCTAGGGGCACTAGAAGGTTTTTACATCCGCCTCACATATCGGGTACCCATTCCCTGGTGGGTGAACAGAGGCACATTTCAACTAAGTTGCTTGCCCAGGGTGACAGCACATGTTTTGACACTTGTGTTTCGGGTGTATGTACGTATTTGTGTTTCCACCATCTGGGCATCTACCATCGGATGAGTGGGTTCTTTTGCGTGCACAGGGTGTATGTACTGTACAAATATTCATTTGCTTTTTACCTAACCTTGACAGATCATCAAATATAAAGAATATGCCAATTTGCCAAATGTATGCGGTTCACCTATCATTAGTTTTTGTTTGCACTTTACTTGAGTTAACATATTGGGCTGCCTTAAGGTCTTGATTGAAGCCAGTGCTCACAGTTTCCCTTGGCTACATTGCTCTGTTATTGACATGGGCTTTCCTATCATGAAGTTCACCACCATAGCCCCAGGGAACTGGTTTGACATGTGTCCTGATCAAGTCAAAAGTCAAGGTCATATCGTACAAATTGTCCCTAAAAATATGTGGTTACACATTCTTACAAGGTATCGATGTTTCTCTCACCAAACTACATTTTCTTTAGGATAAGACCCTGCTTCATGGTAAAAAATACATGTTATGTCATTATGATCATGTCAGTTTTGACAGATCTGAATGTGTGCCTGTAGCATTCCACCACAACAAGTGTCAGTTTCATGTCTGCATAGTTAAACTTGCTAAAATATATTTCTTGTTAAAAATTGATCCTACTCCAAAATTATTTCTTTTTGAAAACTCTGTTTAAATGAGGTTTGAGTAACTTGTAAAAGCACCTGTTTGCAATGATAACCAAGCCCTCAAGCTGGTGTTTCAATTCTTTGGAGAGTGGCCAAAAGTGGCACATGGTAGATTGTAAATATCAAGTTGACTTTTAGGGATTTGTGACCTAAAAACAAAATCAAGTAACAAACAAATTCTCCTCCTTAACCGGCAGCTTTGACAGTCATAAGTACCAGGTGTATAGTTTAATTGACCACACTGGAAAAAGTGGTTGCATCATTCATTACCAGTTCCTGTTTGTTTTATTTGTTTTTGTTTTTTTTGTTTATCGCCACACTCAGCAATATTCCAGCTATATAATGTCAATCTGTAAATAATCAAATCTGTACCAGACATTCCAGTGATCGATATCATGAGCATCGATTCAAGCAATTGGAAAACGATGACATGCATAAACCAAGTCAGCGAGCCTGACCACCCGATCCCATTAGTTGCCTCTTACTGCAAGCATGGTTGCCTCTTACGGCAAGCATGGTTTGCCGAAGACCTATCCTACCCCGGATATTCACGGGTAGTTTGCATTTGTATTGTACAGTCAAATGACTTGGTAGTTGCTGCATCTGAGTAAGGACCAATTGGTCATACACTGTATGGTCATTTAGTCACATACAACTGATATGTAAAACAGGAAGTGACAACAAAGTATTGAGGTCGTTCAGTGAAGAAGTATTGCTGAATGTTTGGAGAACTTATAAAACAATTTCAGTGCCAGTTCATTTTGTCCAAGATTATAGAAAGCATGGTTTTTCACAAAACAACTAGTTTGACAATTCATCTCTGCTCAAATTTTGTATCATAAAGTGAGCTTCAGTACCATTGAGTGCAGTTATTTACAAAATAATTAATAAGAAGAAAACAATAATAATAATAATAATAATAATATATTTCAAATGATCAAACTCTAACGTTTTGGTTATGTTTTCCTGATAGCAGCTTTCAGGTAGTACTAATGATGAAAAGGAAAATAGTTCTTGTAAAAAGTTTGTACATTGCTTTTTGGGTTTCTATTTACCAATTATCAAACGTTATGGTATGTTATCCAAAATAATGATAAAGTTGTTGGGAAAGTATCTTAAAAAATAAATATGTTAAAAAATCTCTTTTGATTATTAGATAGTGTCAGAATTGAGCATGTTGATCTCAGTGTATTGTTCTTGAACAGAACCATCACATTTATTGACCTTAAGATACTCTGGAAAATTTGGATGTTGATCAATAAGAAACAGAACTGAACACGAAAACCTGGCAGCCTTTGATCATGTTGTGTGGTGCCTGAAACAGATTTGGAAGCATCTCTTAAAGGATACTGTACATTGTCATCATGACCAGAGACAAATTGGCCTGGGGAAGCTGTTATGAATTAGATATCAAACAGTCAAATGATTGAAAGCTTAACTTTGTTTTGAACATATATATTTCAAAAGCACTTTTGGATACCTTGTGTCAAAACAAGTTATTTGTTCAGAACAAAAACACTTCTAAAATAGAAAATAAATATCCCCCCAAGTAAATTTGGAAAATTTGTGAAAACAAGATTGAAAGTAACCATAGCAACTGAATAAAATGTCTTGCTTCAATTTGTAAATTAATTACATGAATGGGAGCTTTTATGGAATTGTATTCCTGCAGATAGTGTTTCAGACAGTTTGTCAAAACAACAAGGAGCTATATATGTCAGAACTGTGTTCTCTATTCAATTAGCTTGCGTTTGGCAGACTGTAAGACAATGCAATAGAACTGAATAATGGATTTATACATAATTAGAGATTGTGATGAGCTAGCATTACATTTCTGTTTACATAAAATTCAATGAATATCAAGTGAATGTAACAGGTTGCACGTCACTCTTTTGCAACATTTCAGATGACCTACAGAGTGTCAAGGTCACACCCTTGTCTATCTGTCATTTTGGTGGCTCAGTGGTACAATTTAGTGCGCTATTCAATGTGCAACATGTTTATCTCGTAGACATACAATCTGCTGGTCAGTGTTGTAATCACAGATACACCACAACAGTTACGACACCTCGTTCCCTGGCAGCAAAGTGGGAATGATGAGTTCCCTCAACTTCTGAGACTTGCAGGCAGGAGGAACTGAAATAATGATGAAAGTGGGATGAACTCAAGTCGCTTACACTTCCATCCACTGATTAAACCGCTTCTACAATGTCGCAGAACATGTGTCAGATTGGAAGCGTTTGTCAGAGCAGCAAATTCCTGGGAGTAGCAGGGTTGTCCAGTGGTTGAAGTGTTTGCGTGTCATGCTGAAGACTTGGGTTTGATCCCTAAGTACATGGGTACAATGAGTGAAGCCCATCAATGTTGAAAAAATAGATGTGAATCTCTATTTCTTCGCTTGCACCTATTCTGAAGGTCGAAAGTGAAGGTCATTGCCATGTTAACCACAGTAAACATGTCACAGGATGTTTTAATGTTTATCACTTTCTAGTATCTGGCCCTTAACTACTGGTAATACAATAGCGCCATATGGTGTTATTCAGAACGTAGTAGCACTGTTGCATATTACAACAAATGTGTAATTTGATCAACCTAATCAACTTCCTGATGGATTTGCATATACATATTTATGAATAACAATGAACGCAAGGGTGGTGGAGGCAGTGGTATCAGGTGTGTGTGGCAGGGTCAGGGGTATCAGGTGTGTGTGGCAGGGTCAGGGGTATCAGGTGTGTGTGGTGGGGGCAGGGGTGTTGGGTGTTGTGGGGGCAGGAATGGGTGGGTGTGGCAGGGTCAGGGGTATCAGGTGTGTGTGGCAGGGTCAGGGGTATCAGGTGTGTGTGGTGGGGGCAGGAATGGGTGGGTGTGGCAGGGTCAGGGGTATCAGGTGTGTGTGGCAGGGTCAGGGGTGTTGGTTGGGTGTGGTGGGGGCAGGAATGGATGGGTGTGGCAGGGTCAGGGGTATCAGGTGTGTGTGGTGGGGGCAGGGGTGTTGGGTGTTGTGGGGGCAGGAATGGGTGGGTGTGGCAGGGTCAGGGGTATCAGGTGTGTGTGGTGGGGGCAGGGGTGTTGGGTGGGTGTTGTGGGGGCAGGAATGGGTAGGTGTGGCAGGGTCAGGGGTATCAGGTGTGTGTGGTGGGGGCAGGGGTGTTGGGTGGGTGTTGTGAAGGGCAGGAATGGATGGGTGTAGCAGGGTCAGGGGTATCAGGTGTGTGTGGTGGGGGCAGGGGTGTTGGGTGGGTGTTGTGGGGGCAGGAATGGGTAGGTGTGGCAGGGTCAGGGGTATCAGGTGTGTGTGGTGGGGGCAGGGGTGTTGGTTGGGTGTTGTGAAGGGCAGGAATGGATGGGTGTGGCAGGGTCAGGGGTATCAGGTGTGTGTGGTGGGGGCAGGGGTGTTGGGTGGGTGTTGTGAAGGGCAGGAATGGATGGGTGTGGCAGGGTCAGGGGTATCAGGTGTGTGTGGTGGGGGCAGGGGTGTTGGGTGGGTGTTGTGAAGGGCAGGAATGGATGGGTGTGGCAGGGTCAGGGGTATCAGGTGTGTGTGGTGGGGGCAGGGGTGTTGGGTGGGTGTTGTGAAGGGCAGGAATGGATGGGTGTGGCAGGGTCAGGGGTGTTGGGTGGGTGTGGTGAGGACAGGTGCGGCGTGGGCAGGGGTTTTGGGTGGGTGTAGTGGGGGCAGTTGGGAGGGGTAGGGCGGGCGGGGGGGAGATGTACAGGGATGTTCATTATAGGCATAGTCATCATTTCATGCATGTTTTATTGTGTCTGGTGCATATGTTTGTAGCAATGACGTTCCAACAGAATATCATAGGTTCAGATTGTACATTAACTTGGTTTGACTGCTTGTGCATTTCTACTTAAGTCATTGATTTGAAATAACCAACGGCTGACCTTCTGGATTTTCCAATTTCAGAAAACAATCTGTGAGGCATAAATACCAATCAAGCTGGAATAGGTTCTGATTTGTACGAATTATTCTGGAATTAGGAAGAAAACGATGATTGTATTGATTTAGTGAAGGTAAAGTGGGAAGTTGTCATCCTTCTTAGTAACAGTCAGGGTCTTAGTGTGAGAAAGTTCTGCCAATTTGAACAAATCAATATCCAATCTGTTCAGTCAGAAATCAGTCCAAACAGTTGTGGATTTGACTGTCCAGATGTTAGTCAGGCAAAGAGTGGGAACTATGGGCTGAACATATTGTATGGTCAAGCTCAAAGCTACTGTTAACCAATGAGGATTCAATGATTCAGTTTACGCTTGGAATAAGTAAAGACTAATGTAAGCGGTGGTTGAAAAGGCTGAAGAGTATGTATAGTACTTGGATAGTTGATAGTTAATTCAATGCAGCCTTGTCTATCTTGGGCCATTGTTTATGCAGCCAACAGGGCCCACTTGCACAAAGCGATCTTACTGCTAAGATGATAGTAACTCCCATACTTTAACATAGCTTGCAATAGTCTTAGAGCTGAGACCACATTGTGCAAGTGGGGGCAGTACTGTCTTGTTCACATTCAATCATTTAGTTTGCTGTGAAATAGTTAGGATATTGCAACTGATGTACACTGTCTAATCCTCTGAAGAGTCTTGCGGTATAAGCATCTATAAAAATAGTATATTAACGAAGTCATCCATAAGTTGTGTCATAGTCACTTTGTCTTTACGTCTAGATGTGGTATCATGTAGAATGGTCTGACATGCACGTTTGGGGACATTTGTGGCCTAGATGCCGCAATTTACTTTGTAGGGTTGTGTAGGCGTGCCAGAATCCTATAAATCCCAGGTTTGATGTGAGAGATTTCTCTGACTTTAACCATGTTATTGTTTATATATGATTTCCTTGGGACCTATAGTGGTGTCAGTTCTTATTTTTAACATGAACATTCAGAAAGACAAGTTATTCATAATCAATTGCAACAACTATGTGACTTCACCATAAGTTTGACCTTGATTATGTTTCAAGGTCTGTAGACACCACACCCATGAGTTTCACCATGAAGATTTGCATCACTTTCCTCTCGGCTGACGGATGTGATGAAATACTATTTAAGGTGGCGAGAAACCAAAGTTACTCACATGTGCCTATTGTTTCTGCTTCAGATCACCGAAGTATCCTGTGACTACAACAGTGACACGCGTGTGTTGTTGAATCGGACGTCGGAGGAGGAGTATACTTGGGAGGACCTGCAGCCAGGCAATGGCTGGGTGGGCACGATACAATGCATGGTCGTACTTCCAGGGAAGTCATGAATGCACCCCATACTTCCGAGATATGCAAATCCAACCTGTGCCTAAAGAATGTGTGATTATCCTGAACACAGGCGATGTATGTCTGTGTCAGCTGCCGGAACTGGCTTGGATCACATGTGATCCAGCTAAGTCGAATGAGATCTAATTGAGTCATATGTGATCTAATTGAGTCGTACATGATCTAATTGTGTCGTACATGATCTAATTGAGTCGTATATGATCTAATTGAGTCATATATGATCTAATTGAGTCATGTGATCTAACTGACTCATATATGATCTAACTGAGTCATATGTGATCTAATTAAGTCGTATATGATCTAATTAAATCGTATATGATCTAATTAAGTTGTTTATGATCTAATTGAGTCATATATGATCTAATTGAGCCATATGTGATATAATTTTTATCATATGATCTAGGTGGTGCAAATGTAATCTAACTGGGTCATAAATGATCTAATTGGGTCGTATATGATCTAATTGTATCATATGTGATGTTATTCATTCATATATGATCTAAGTGATGCATATGCAAGCCAACTTGGTCATACATAATCAAATTGCATCACATATGATTGAACTGTCATACATGATCCAGCAAAGTCATACATGATCCAACTAAGTCATTCATGATCCAAGTCATACATGATGTAATTGGCTCATGTGTGATCCAACTGTCATACATGATCCAGCAAAGTCATACCTGATGTAATTGGGTCATGTGATTTACTTGAGCCATGATCATATGTGGGTCATGTATGTTCCCACTGAATCCTTTATGAATGAAATGTGTGAATCAGGTGTGTGGTGGAAATTAATAATGTTATAATGTATCAATCAAACAAGTCATGCATCACCACACTAGTTATATGTCAAAAAGGTATATACTATTGATGAGTCACATATTACAAGGAAAACTGTAAATGTTTGTTTATTGCCAGACACTGCACAGCAGTATTCCTACAATACAACCGTGACCTGTACCCAATCAAGACTTGACCAGACAATCCAGTGACACAATAGCCCATTTACTGATTTACTGTTTTTGGTTTAAGCAGTGTTTGGGATGACTGCTCGATGGCAACCTTTATGACAGAGATGTTAAACTGTGGCATGGTCTTTTCAATCATAATTAACTATGTACATCATTGTAAATAGACTAAAATATTTCCATTTTGTATGTATGTACATATTAGATTTCGTTGCAAATGCAACTAAGATACCAAGTGTTGACTACCGTATTCACTGTATTACGCACCCTGCTCCAATAAGCATCCCTGACCAACTTCTAGTCCAATCTGTGAGTAATCTTCAGAAGTGCCCCTACTAAAACCAAACATTTACATGAAAGTCGATATGATCTTGTGTATAATACACACTTTTTAGAAATCATAAACATTAATATTAGTTACTTGGCAAATGCAGCATGGAGGGTTATAAAATTGCCAAGTAACTAATATTATGTTTATGATTTCTAAAATGTGTGTATTATACACAAGATCATATCGACTTTCATGTAAATGTTTGGTAAAAGTTGGTTCTCTACCACTTGATATCTGAAGACAAATTTAACTTGTGTGGTTTAAATAATTTTCCGAGCTTCAAAGCGCTTATTACGGTGAATACCTGAGGTGTGGTATCTTATGAAGTTGGTAGTTGTATAGATGCAGGCATTAGAACATGAGCTTCAATGTTGGCAGCACTGTTAGGGAATCCAAAAGGGTTTGGACTAATGACAGCAACAGCTTCTTTGTAACTCTTAGGACTACATGTTTAGGTAGATTGTAACAGTGCTGGTAACAAGTGGGATATGAAGCAGATGCTGGCAGAGTTATTATCTTCATCAACATGTGTTATAATTGTAACAAGGAAGTTGATCATTTATACTTCATTGTCATGAACAATGGCATATCCAACTTGTCTCTGAAAGGTTTTGTTTGAATTTGTATTTGTTTTTGTTTTGAGGAATTTCAAGACATTAGTCAGATGTTTTTCTTTCTACCTTTCTAGGGGTGACGTGGGTGGCTCAGTTTAAGGCGTCACAACGTGCTGTGCATAGTTGCGTCCCTTGGACATGCCAGAAACCTATGATCATTGGTTCGAATACAGGTTCGCCCCAATTATGTTGCTAGGATTTGTCAGCACCATACCCGTGCTCGTGGGTTTCACCAAAGTGGTAAACGTCTGAGACCTGCATCACTTCAGACTTTCCTCCCCGATGAAACTGACCCGCTGAAATATAACTGGAATACTGTTCAAAGCAGCATTATACCCAACTCACCCAACCACTTCTTCCACCTTTGTTAAATATATATGTTAAAAAGCATTCTTTAAATTATTATTGTTTTGTTATGGTTCTTATCCCCCCCTCCCCCAGATTGTTTTTAAGCAACTGAATACAAACAAATTGAGGGGAGTTTTTGTTCATTTCTAAATGTCTTATTATATCTGTTTTGATTTAAACCATTAAAATTTCAAGATATGTCTTAATACATACCTGCTACATTCAGTAACATGTCAAGCATGTTAATCTGTTATGTTCAACTTAACCTAAGCTATCCTGCATAAACAGTTGTTTTGGAATATGCTTCTTTAATGTGGTAGAAAACATCAAAATGTCTGCTCCCTGTGGTGTCTCAGCAATAAGCCACCAAGAGTAGCCTCCCTTCAATTTGACTTCTTCCCAGTACACAATGTGTTGCCAGGATGGCAAAATGACAAACAAGAAATATGTGACAATCATCATGGGTTCCAACTAATACATTAGTGAGACGGGACATCAGAAATGTGTGCCATGCTTGGCACCCACGTCAGGGATCGAACCAGGTCAGTCAGTGTGAGCACATTAGCAAGTTGGCTAATCCACCGCCTCCTAGAACACTGGAGGTTATGTTGTCAGAAATATTCATATTCAGTATCACTGTACATCCGACATATTCCATGGATGTTTGAATACATCAGTCTTTAGAAATTGTCATGCAATTCCATTTTTAGATGATGATCATGTTAGAAGAAAATACGAACATTTGAATGAGGTATCATTGACACAGTTATGTTTTGTAATAAAAGCTCCCCCTTGATGCAAAGTGTCAATGTATGTATATTGATGATAGAAATAAATTGTGTGGATCTTTTGCATGAACGTTTGAATATAATTTAGGGAGCATCCATTGTATTTCTGTGGGGTGGTGATGTGTGAAGGTTTTTTAAATGAATACTTTGTTCAGAAACATGCCCAAAATATATTGTTTGTTGGCAGTGGTGGAAACAATTAATAGTTTGGTTTGTTGGGAAATGCCAAAACATCATTTTTTCTGTGTTAATAGTGAAAAATGAATAGATTGTTTGATGGTGCTCAGTAAATAAAAAAATGCTGGATACAGCTGGTAAAGTAAAAGATTGTTTAACCACCACCCCTCTCACACACCCCACACACCCCACACCCCCACCCTCTCCCCAACCCCAAATACACATCAAATGGATGTCCCTTAGTGACAAACTTAGATTTTAAACTTAGAATTAATATCTGAAATTCAAAATAAAGTTGTATTGTTTCAGAATTGTTTGAATTTAGCCTTTTAGCTGAATTATTTGTTTTCTTTTTACCTATGTTTCCAAAAACAGGTTTTAAATATGTGGAACATGTGCATTTATGATCGCCACATCCAGAATACCAAAGATGGCTTGTTCTGTTATGTTGACTTACTCAGTCAGGAGCCCAGTCAGTGATGTCAGTTTGCTAATGCCACATCTAATGTGATGTTAGTAAACATGGTTTAACATGGAAAGATACAGAAAGATAGTTGGTTAGGTTTTTGTTTGAATAAAGTTTTTTATACGTATTACTCACCATTTCTTGGAGTTGGTCAAACATGTTTTGTCATAAATGATTATGTATTTTTTTCTAATTTCAGGGTTGTTTTGGGGGGGTCAGTCAGACTCGTAAACCAGCCCCCCAACATTTATATGGCCTTCAGTATGTATGTATGGATGGATGGATGGATGGATGCATGTAGGTATGGATGGATGGATTGGTGGATGGATGGATGCATGTAGGTATGGATGGATGGATTGGTGGATGGATGGATGGATGCATGTAGGTATGGATGGATGGATTGGTGGATGGATGGATGGATGCATGTAGGTATGGATGGATGGATTGGTGGATGGATGGATGGATGCATGTAGGTATGGATGGAGAGAAGGATGGATGGATGCATGTAGGTATGGATGGATGGATGGGTGGATGGATGGATGCATGTACTAGATAGCTACTGTCTCAATGTTAATGACATATGACAATTTAGTTATACCATAATTCCTTGTACCAGCACCTGCTGTTGACTACACAGGTCAAGAAATAACAGGTCAATATTCTTGGCACAAGGCACAAAGATTGAAACAAAATTGAAAAAGCACCTCCCTGAAAACACTATTGAATTGCCTTTATTCAAGGATTTGAACAACTTTTGTCATAATTATTCTCAACAAAAATAGTTTTTTCAGGAATTGTTTGCAGTTTTAGAACATTAATGATATGTCATGTTGGTTGAGGACCAATGTAAGCATACAGTCAGGACTGTCAGAGGCCATTGTAAGTGGTTGTATATTTCAAGTGGTTTTGCCTATAATCAGCAAGTTCTTCATGCTAAATCAAAACAATATTGGAGAAATCTTGTGAACTGATGATCGAGTGACGATGATACAATGTATTAGATGTAACAGATCTTCCTTTTGTTTGTACCACAGGCAGCTGAAAATCCCCAGATGGAGAATACACAAAACTTTAGTTTTAAACTGATTTGGTAATGTGGCACTTTATCAGATGAAAGTGTGTTATTTATCAGCTTATTTTCAGCATCTGAACCATAGTGGTGTGTTGTATATAGACTACAATGTTTATGAAACATGAAATGCACTGTAAATATAATCAAAATAAATTGTACATACATTTAATATCAAACAGGAATTCTGTTTTTGCTTTGTTGTCAGTATTGTATACTGAACAAAATCTGTTAAGGATCATGTATGTTTGGGGGAATATTTTATGAAGTTATGCGATCAGTTTTCACTAGAAGAAGATATCCTCAAAGATATTCATGAGCCCTTACAGTCTTGTTAAGTATATATTACTACATTCATTGTATATTTTGTGTGAGGGAGATGAAGATTGGTAAATGCATGGCAAGCATGTCTCCTGATTCCCACTCTTATACAGACAGACAGACATTCTTTATTTCCTCCAATAATTGAAGAGTACATATGACAGTAAGTTAGGTCAAATCATAGATGACCTGTAGTGAACAAAATGCAGATAACAAAAAAAAATATGAATACAATGTCCTTCTAGGTAGGAGCTTGTGAACAGTAACGGTTATAACATGCTTTGTTTGATGTGTAACCTGCAAATATGTACAAACTTTGAGACAACCAACACAAATCGTATCCAAGTGCTAAAATCAACATGACATAAGGTGTTGTGATCTCCTCCAAGCAAACAGTTCAACATTGCATTGTCATCCTGGTCACAAAAGTTAATAAAATCGTTTATATGCAGCAGTGAAGAAAGTTTATCGCACATCTGATTTCTCTGGGGTGGTCGGGTAGCCTAGTGGTTAAAGCGTTCGCTCATCACACCGAAGACCCGGGTTCGATTCCCGACATGGGTACAATGTGTGAAGCCCATTTCTGGTGTCCCCCGCCGTGATATTGCTGGAATATTGCTAAAAGCGGCGTAAAACCATACTCACTCACTCACTCTGATTTCTCTGTTGTATGAGGTCTCATACCCCAGGGACTTCATTTGAAATGGTGGGGACAGTGTGTGAAGCCCATTTCTGGTGTCCCTGCTTTGATATTGCTGGAATATTGCTAAAAGCGGCGTAAAGCCATACTCACTCACTCACTATCTGAAATGGACCTCCATCCAACTCGCAACAGTGGGATGAGATAGTTATCTTAATGCCAACATTATAGTGCCCAAAAGGCCCGGGGGCTGTATGATCCCCAGGGAGTTGAGAATGTAATTGAGTGCACACTGACCCATTGACCAAGACAGTATACAGTATTGTGTAGCACCATGAGTATGCTGTACATATTGATATTGTGTAATATAAATATGCAGTAATATCAATGTGGGAGAAAACCCCACAGGT